CCAGGCATTGTGGCAGGTGTCTATAGTCCCAGCTACTTGGGAGGCTGAGGCAAGAAAATTGCTTAAGCCTAAGAGTTAGGAGGTTGCTGTGAGCTGTGATGCCACAGCACTCTACTGAGAGTGAAATAGTGAGATTCTGTCTCAAAAAAAAAAAAAGAAATAATTATTCTTTGGTGTTTTTGGTTAATAGGGAAGGAAAATAAAATTCAAGCATTATTTTTAATACTCATTAGTAATTCTGATAAAATTTTGGTAAAGCAAGCTAGTAAAACTAAGAACTGCATGGCTGGATGCAGTGACTCACACCTGTAATCCTAGAACTCTGGGAGGCTGAGTCAGGTGGATTACTTGAGCTCAGGAGATGGAAACCAGCCTGAGCAAAAGCAAGACCCTGTTTCTATTAAAAAAAAAAAAAACAACAACAACTAGCCAAGTATGTAGCAGGTGCCTGTAATCCCAGTTATTCCAGAGGCTGAGGTAGGAGGATTTCTTGAGGCCAATGGTTTGAGCTATGACACCATAACACTCTACCCAGGGCGATAAGAGTGAGACAATGTCTCAAAAAAAAAAAGGGAGAGAGAGAGAAAAAAAATTCCAAGAATTATTCATTTGTGTGTGGTAGGCTAAATAGTGGCCCCCAAATCCCTGGGACCTATGAATGTTATCTTATATGGCAAAAGGGACTCTATAGCTGTGACTAAGTTAAGGATCTTGAGATAAGCTGATTATCCTGACTTATCCAGGTAGGCCCTAAATGTAAGCACATGTATTCTTTTAAGAGGGAGGCAGAGGTAGATTTTACTATAGTCAGAGGAGAAAGTGATATGATGATAGAAACAGAAATTAGAGTGATGCACTTTGAAAATGGAGGAAGAGATCACAAGCAAAGGAATATGAGTGGCTAGTAGAAAAAACCAAGGAAATGATCTTTTTCTTCAAAGCATTCAGAAGAAACCAACCCGGCTAACCTCTTGACTCTAGCCCAGTGGAAGTGATTTGAGACTTCTGACCTCCAGAACAGTAAGTTTTAGGCCACTAAACTTGTGGTGAATTGTTACAGCAGTAATGGGATGCTCATATGCTATGTTAAAGAAAAACAAATTAGTGAAATTCTGATTCTTTGTTTTTTAGACTATGGAAATCTGAAAAGATAAACATGGAAAAGATGTGCCAAAGTCCTACACAATACATGTAAGATCTATTCAGGAAGCCTAATCGGCTCAAGGGAAAAGTAAGCATAGAAGCAATCTCTGTATGGCAAACGATCCTGAAAGAAGGCACAAAGAAACATGTAAACAAAAGAAAGGTCACAAAGGCTATTATGAATAGATAAAGAGCAAAAGAGAACCACATATAATAACACAACATTGAACATTAGGAATTGCTGCTGAAAAATAACCGGCTAATTTTTTTACTTAATTCTCTCTAAAGTCTCCAGGCCATATACTCAAGATATCCCTTTCTCCAGGTGTGGTGGCTCACACCTATAATCCTAGCATTGTCAGAGGCCAAAGCAGGTGGATTGCTTAAGCTCAGGAGTTCAACATCAACCCAAGCAAGACTGAGACCCCATCTCTACTAAAAATAGAAAAACTAGCTGGGCATTGCAGCAGCCACTTGTAGTCCTAGGTATTCAGAGGCTGAGGCAAGAAGATAGCTTGAGTCCAAGGGTTTGAGGTTGCTGTGAGCTATGATGCCATAGTACACAAATATCCCTTCCATTGGTATAAAGCTAGAAGGACCTAAAAAACATAAGGAGAGGCTCGGCGCCTGTGGCTCAAGTGGCTAAGGCGCCAGCCACATACACCTAAGGTGGCAGGTTCGAATCCCCAGCCCGGGCCCGCCAAACAACAATGATGGCGGCAACCAAAAAATGGCCAGGCACTGTGGTGGGCGCCTGTAGTCCCAGCTACTTGGGAGGCTGAGGCAGGAGACTCGCTTGAGCCCAGGAGTTGGAGGTTGCTGTGAGCGTGATGCCATGGCACTCTACCCAGGGGGATAGCTTGAGGCTCCGTCTCAAAAAAAAAAAAAAACATAAGGAGAACTAGTGGGGTTTTTTGTCTCGTAGCCAAATAGGAAACCCAGATTAGTTAGAGTCTAGCAATTTCTCATTTCTCTAAGGTACCTCAGATGAGAGACAAATCACAACTCTTCAGGTTGTTTTGGGCCAGTGTAGGGTTTTTTTTTGGGGGGGGGGGAGCATATCCAGGACAACCTATACCCTTGAGCTAGATTCCAACTTGCCTTAATTCAGTTATATATGGTAAATGCGGAGACGTGATTATTCGTCTTAACACTAAATCTCCCATGTCAGACTTCTGAATGACCCTCAAATTGCTCCAGTTTCCGAAAGCTGTGAAGTATAGATCTTGCTTCTTATTTGATAAATTCTGGAGTAGAATGAGGAAAACATATTCCTAAATAATCTTAAGTAACTTTGCTTTTACAGTACATCAATGTTCTTACATATTGTAAAAATATCTTACAGGAATAGTGGGCAAGAATGGGGCACCTAAAAAAAAAAAAAAGACTTTTGGGCAGCACCTGTGGCTCAAAAGGGTAGGGCGCTAGCCCCATATGCTGGAGGTAGCAGGTTCAAGCCCAGCCCCAGCCAAAAAAAAAGACTTTCACTCATCAGATAAGGCCTATTTTCTACAGGAGCTATGTATACTGTTTAAATCCAGTGTCTCAATTCATGTACCTGTGTGTCGAAAACATTATTCAGCAAAATTCCGTATTGATGAGATAGGCAATCAGAAAGCCAACGACAATCATGAATAACCTAAGGAATCAAGAGACAAGAGTAATTAGAACCTGGCTGATAATCTTATGAGGGAGGAATCAGCTTACACTTACCTTCAAAATTCTCTTGTCTTCTAATATCATCTGAAGTCCATTGTTGAAAGCACGACTTCCCAGAAGGAAAATGTCAAATAAGTAAACTCGGCTGTTTGTGGCCACCTACAATAGACATCCAGACATACATACCACAGGATAAACAAGAACTGGGGTACGGGATCTGGGAATCATGAATAAAAGACATGCAATAAAATATTTAGCATCTAGCCAGGCAAGGTGGCTCAAAAAAACAAAAATTTAGCATCTTCACTTTTAAGTAAAC